AGTAAATACTGATTGTTCATTTATCCATTCCGAGAATTCTCGTACAGAATTTCCTACACTTTAATCTAATTATTTATCTGCTATAATAAATTGTGGTGATTTACCCACATCTGGTAGCAGCACCACTCGTGCTCTTGTCTTTTTCTGCGCTCTCACACATTCCACTGGCGCTGCTCTCGCATTTATTAATTGATGATTGTTGTTACTACGTTAGTCATTTTAATTGCACTTGTAATGCAATTAAGCTACCAATATTGTTTTATATCATTATTTGCACTTTGTTTCTAACCTAAATCACAGCGATCACATCTCCACTCATTTTGTTGAAGTTTCTTAGTGCTTGTAATTTTAGTAGCAGAATTTCCAATTTCCAACTTTACTTACTACATATATTTTAGCACAAAATCTGCTGCTATTTATTACTTGCATCATATTAAATCCACATTCTCTATAGCTTTGACTTCTTTAGTCAGTTTTCAAGCGAGCTCTTACACCGTGACTTTTTTTTTAATGTCAGGCAGTGATGGCAAAGTAGGCACAATTGTGCCATTTTTGGCACTTGCATTCTCAGAGGCACTTTTGGTGGCACAATTCATCCTGTTTTGGCACAATCATAAAATATAGAAATTTAGCATAAATTGCCAATATATAACAAAAATTCACATACCACATTATAGGTCAGAAAATTAGAACAAGTGAAAATTAAAAACACTGAAAAATTAAAATAAGGGCCGTGAGAAATATTTACAAACCGCTGAATTCTATTGTGAATACGCAGTACGAAAAGTAAGTTTTCGCAATAACAACATTTTAGTTCAGAATTTTTAGAAATATGTTAAGTTTGCAGTTTTATAGTCCATTAAATAAAAGTGCAAGTTTCTGCAATATCCCGATGATTTATAATTTTTTTTGGTTTGCTGACGGTGTCATAAATTTTCATCCATTTAAAAAATTTTGGAACACACTTTATATGGGAAAAAATGCATAACATCGAAAACTTGGAATTTTGATTTTTTTTTTTAATTTTTGTACAAAGTGTGAAATGCCGATTATGAGTTAGACTTTTATATAAAATCAATCATAAATAATCAATGAAAAGAATAGGTGAAACTGGTGAAAATGTCTCACTGCCATTATTTCGCATATACATATGTGTGTGGGTACATACATATGTGCGTAAAAATGTCAGAATAGCTATATTTCGGTGTATTTCCCCTCCGTAATTGGAATTCTGTGTAATTTTACTATGAATTTATGTATGTATATGTCTAAGGAATCCTTCATAAAAGTGATTTACTATATTACTTCTGTGTATTTTAAAAATATAATTTCTAAAAATTTATTGCTCTTAAAATACCATAAAAGAAATTTAATTTTGTGGCACTTTCATCTTCTTTTCGGCACAATATTTGAAAACCATTAGGCACATTTTGAAATTTTGAAATTCCATCCCTGATGTCAGCCGCCTACCGGGTGTATTGGCTTCATGCCATTCACCGTTGCTGTGGTCTCTTTCACTGCTTGTGTGGAAACTATCGACCACCACTACTGGATGCACATACTCCCCGCTGTTCCCACTCCGCTTTTGATGCTTCTTAGTTGGACCTCCTCTTTGCTTTACGCGTACTTGCTGCTCTCTAGTTTCATTCGAGCTAACGATTTTCGGTTCGTTTTCTCATGAGTTGTCCATTCTAGTAACATTAACCAAAAAAAAGCAAGCATTCTACGATTTGTACGTTTTTCTCACTAGGTTCTTCTCTTCTTTTTGATTGTTCACTGTTGCCAGTGTTGCCACACATCATCTTTTTCTATCAAAACTGGTAGTTTTTTTTTCATTTGGTATGTTGGTAGGTTAGTTTGGGTTTTGGTAGGTACCGCGAAAATAATAGAAAATATGTATCTCCGAACATTTTAGCATTTTTTTCTTAATGCACCTTCAAGTTAACTTAAATTGAACTGAACTATAAAGGTGTGAAAAACTACATATGGATGTATATGTACTGAAGACTGGTGTCCTGAAAACGGCTTGTCAATAAACCCACTAAAATTCTCCGTTGTCCCATTTACCAAAAGAGGGAAAGAGCCAACTTGACTAAGACCCACCTTGGCAGGGACAAAAATTTAGTGCCCAGAAGAGGCGAATTATCTAGGGCTCAATTGGAACTCGCATCTCTCCAATCCTACTAACAGGACTACAAGGGCGTGTTATACCTGTCAGAGACTTGGGGGAATATCACCTAAACTAACGTATTGGTCTTTCCAGACGGTAGTAAAACCCATTATTACATATGCGGCACTGACTTGGTGGCCAAAAGCTAAGCAAGCAGAAGTCCAACAGATGCCTTTAGTGCCATTACAGGTATTACTTCTTTGTCTATTCTGATTGAAAAAGGGTCTGCTGGAGCGCCCTACGGCTGCCAATACAATCAGCATGAAAAGTGGAGATCTTCGGGGTCATCTGAAGGTTCTCAAGCTATTCCTGGATGATCCCGCTATCAAGCTCACATACATCCTGAACCTACAAGGTCAGAAATCCTTAAAGGGATTCCTGTGAACCGATAATAACAATGATTGACGAAGGGTCCCAAATATCGTATACCGACGGATTGAAGATAAACGACGGGACTACTGGTGCAGGCATACTTGGACCAAGAGTACAGAAAAGTCTGCCATTGAATAAATATTATGGCGCGTAGTGAAGCAGCGTTAAAGGCCTTGGACACTTTTAAAACGGCATCATCGCTTGTGGACCACCTGGGAGCCCCTAATATCGTGAATGTCACGCAAAGCGTGCAGCCCAAATGCCCTTGCACGATCCCGAGCCTTGCTGCGTTACATCTAAAGGATACCCTGCAGAACTACTTAGAAGTTGGGAAGAATGCCAGATTGCTGCCCACTAGCGGAAGTCAAAGGTAATGAGACAACCTCTTTCCAGCAGGACCTCGGAAAGACTACATGAAATGAGCCGGTGCGATGAGGGCCTTAGAATTCTTACTGGCTACCTGATAGGTATTCCCGACGTAAAGAGAATACATTTGTACAAGTCCGTACAGTAAAATGAGTTGCTATACGGAGTTAGTTTTATTTTTATTTTACTAGCTGTGTTATAGTTTTATTAAATTTTAGGGAAAATTTTAGAATGGTAACCCCCGAGTGCGGAATTAAGGAAAATAGGGGGGGAAGAGGGGGTTCTAAAGGGGGTATATGTAAAGTTTTAAAGCGCGGAACCTTACAGTTTTCAAATAATTTGTTATTAAAGTTTGTAATTTTCACCAACTTGTATGGGACTATTTCACAATATATAATGCACTTTCCACTAAATTTACACGTTATTTACACTCAATATATGCGCAGTAGAGTGTGCACGTTCAAACAAATAAATAATTTTAGTATATTACAGCTTTTTTATCAAAAATTGATTGTTGTTTAATTTTATGAGAGTACATGCAGAATATGTGCAAATGGCAGCAGGACTGTGTTGCCATATCTAAAACCAAGAGTGGAAAGCAAGACCAAAAGAAAATACGATTAAAAGGAAAATACGATAAGGTTATTTTGTTCAGATTAAAATAAATAGTAGGGGGATCAGGGGCTGAACACCTTTCTGGGTAGGCGGCCTTCGGCCGCGTTTAGGGATTATAACCTCACAACGTAGAATTCTCCTTTCTGTGTTGCCATAGAAATGGGGCCGAACACCTTTTGCATAGAACACCTTTCTGCGTAGGCGGCCTTCGGCCGCGCTTAGGGATTATAACCCTGACTACGTAGAATTCTCCTTTCTGTGTGACCTAACTGTGATGTAACCTTGGGAAAGGATGAGGTAACTAGAATTCCCTTTCTGTGTGGTAAACCTGGGGCTGGCGCCCCAGTGATGCCTATTTTGGTTGGCCATAAAGGAAAGCCAACTGCACCTTTCTGCGTAGGCGGCCTTCGGCCGCACTTAGGGATTATAACCCTCACTACGTAGAATTCTCCTTTCTGTGTTGCCGGAAGAGGGGAATATGACCCCAAGCCGCCCCCTACTATTTATTTTTATCTGAACAAAAGAACCTTATCGTATTTTCTTTGGTCTTGCTTTCCACTCTTGGTTTTATAGATATGGCAACACAGTCCTGCTGCCATTTGCACATATTCTGCATGTACTCTCATAAAATTAAACAACAATCAATTTTTGATAAAAAAGCTGTAATATACTAAAATTATTTATTTGTTTGAACGTGCACACTCTAACTGCGCATATATTGAATGTAAATAACCTGTAAATTTAGTGGAAAGTGCATTAATAATAATAATAATAATAGATTGGCGCTTACACATATGTTAGTGTTTGGCCGAGCTTCTCCTCCGATTTGTGGCGTGCGCCTTGATGTTGTCACACAAAGCGGAGGGACCTACAGTTTTACGCCGACTCCGAACGGCGATTGTATTTTTATGAGAAGCTGTTTTTCATGGCAGAAATACACTCGGAGGTTTGCCATTGCCTGCCGAGGGACGACCGCTGTTAAGAAAAAACCTTTTTTCTATATTTTTGCGATGTTGCTTTGACCAGGGTTTGAACCCAGGCATTGTGGAGTGGAAGCGCGCACTGCTTACCACTACACCACAGCGGCCGACGGAAAAGTGGAAAGTGCATTATATATTGTAAAATAGTGCCATACAAGTTGGTTACAATTACAAACTTCAATAACAAATTCCTTAAAAAGTATAAGGTTGCGCGCTTTGAAACTTCATACAGGGAACTGTTAGACCCCCCTCTACCTCCCATATTTTCCTTAATGCTGTACTCCGGGGTGTCCAATCTAAAGTCCACCCAAATTTTATGATATCTACATTTTTAATAAACGTGACATTTAAAAAAATAATAATTTAAAACGCCCAAAAAATTTGGAAGGAAAAAAATTTGTTCGTGGCAACACTGACTTTGGCCTGCTCGTTTGCTTTTCTGCTTGCGCTCATATCTCCCTCGATGTGTTTTTGCCATTAGTACAAATTCAGTCGTTTGCCGGGGAAGTTGCACTGCTGCAAAAACGGTGTTGTTCGCGAAGGCGTGTTATAATACTCTACACTACTACTAATACTAATTGAAAAGAATAAATAAAAATAAAATACAACAAAAACGTGCACGGTGAACAAAGTCAGCCGCAACGCCAGCATCTGCGTTAACTGCAGTATTCCGATCAGCGAAAATATTAAAAATAAAAATAAGTTAAATACAGTGTGCGTGCTGTACAACAAATTGAGTTGTACCAATTTATTTCTAATTTCTTGTATACAAATAGTTATGTGTACATATGTACATATGTGTTGTATTTATAAGAAAACTCAAAGCACAGATAATTGCTATGGGGCGCTTTTTTAAAGCATCTGCCAATTTCTGTCGCAAAATGCCAAAAATAAGTGGACAAGGATTGCCGTTGTTGATTTTTATTATTACTATTTAGTGGCTTTGATAGTTGTTGGAGAAGAAAAGGTGTTGCTGGTATATTCTTTCGTTTTTTTTTTTACTTAAATGCATACAAAATCGTACGATTTTGCTAAAGAATACAGTTCAAGTGGTTTGATTGTTTGTTAACTTTCTGTTTCGATGAAAAAACAACGATTAAATTCAAGTTGTGCTGAAAAGCGATTTTTCGCTTCAAGAGCAGAAAAATTGAAGCCACCTAAATGAGAAAACGGTTAACATGTGCGAGCTAATGAATTAGAAAAATTAATAATAAAAAAGTTGTGAAACGAAAAACTAAAAAAAAAAATAAAAAATCTCATTAGATCGTAGATTTAAAATTGGTAAACTGAATTATGGCGAAATAAAAACGTCAATATCTGATAATAAATAGTCAATGCAAATTAAATAAAGTTAAAAGAAAATAAATTAATTAATTAGTTAAAAATATATACAAAAATAATAAACGAAATAAAATAAAGTAGGGTGAAATAAAATAAAATAAACAAAATAAAAAAGCTGGGTAAATAGAAGTGATGAATTAAATTATATTACAGTCAATGTAAAAGGTTAAGACCTCAAAATAAGTTCGTTTATATTTACTGCTATTTCCTTAAATCATACAGTAAAAATGATTCTGAATTTTGAGAACCATTTCACGAGAGAAGCTTTAATTTAAATATGTCCATAATAAATTATAAAAAAAATACTAAAAATATAACATGAAACAACAACTAGAAAAGAATCGGCGGAATAATTAACACTTCAAATACATACTTTTTTTTATTAAATTGATAATATGGCAGCGCTCGAATTTCGTTGACCTAAAATTAAGTGCAGTTAATTCCCGAGTTCCCGAGTCACTTTCAACGGAAGCAATTTAAGTGGAAAATGATTGCTTTTATTTGAATCTAATATGGAAACTGACGGAAAAAAATAATTTTTTACTTGCATAAATTGATTTCGTAAAACCGGTTAATGTAATCAACTAAAATATACTTTTCATATTAAATATGTAGAGGTTAAGTAAAGTATTACAGACATTTTTAACACTAAAAGTCAGTGCCAAATTTTTGTATATATCTGACTTTAGACAGTTTTTTCAAGAATGCGTATATAAAATAAAATATAGATCTTTAAGAATTTCTCGCCAAAAGTGAAAAATATCCAATATAATAATTAATATGTATAATCAAAAAATTTAGGTATAAATTTATGGAAGTATTAGGCGACGAAAAAAATATAAAAACTTTGTAAAATTACTTAAAATAGCTAAACTTTGTTTGTGGATCTAAGGTCTGCGATTAGAATATTCATAAATAGAAAGCGTCAGGAAAAAGATAATATTTGATCTAAATCCCAGCCCCTAATCAGAAATTCGAGTAAAAGCGATACAAAAAATACATACATACACTCCGTGTCAAAATTAGAAATCCCCCATATATCGATTAGCTTTAATAATTTTTTTTTGTTATTTCGTTTAGTTATTTTTTATAAAAATATACGTTAAATACCGAAAATCAACGGTAAGTAAGTATGTTAAGTACATACGACTTTATGTTACTAATGGGCTACAAAACTGCATACTCAAATATTTTGTAAGAAATTTAATTAAAAAGCTTGAAATGTTTGAAACTTGGATTTGTACGACTATTGCTTAAGAATAAACTGTATGAAAAAAAAAATAACAAAAAATTAAATGGTTAAAACTGTTCAATAAGTATGTGATGCGTTTATAATTTTTACACGGTGTGTATAGATAAGGTTTTGCTATCCATATGACGTTGGTTAAGCAGCGACCATTTAGTAACAGGATTTAAAGGATTATTGTTGAAAACATTTCTACTTTCAGAATTTCGAGTGATATTTTCTAAAAACTATACAGAAGTAAAATTTCATGAAAACCGTACAAAATAAAGTTTACCTTTAAATGTCAGTTGGCAAAACCAAATTTATGCGTGAATAATGCGTTTTAAACTAAATTGTTTACATTTCCACAAGTAAAAGATTATCCAAAAACCGTAAAAATAAGAAAGAGAAAAAGTACATCTTTCGCGCTTACCCACTTTTACGACTTTACACTCAAAATAATATAAATAAGAGATCCACTTTTATCCAATAAAACATACAAAACCAGACATAGCTATTAACAAATTAAAATATGTACTACGCTTACACCAAAGAATCGTTGCAGCTCAAATGCTTACAATCAACAAAAATTACCACATAGTACTATTGCCAGTTTTGTTTACAAGTTTGCTTTCGTGTTTTTTGTTTTTGTTTTTTTCTCCTTATTAATTAAAAATTCAAGCGAAAAAATTTCGCTTACAATGCACAATAAAGCTTTTGTCTGATACTAAATTCTCCATATGTGCATACATTAATTTAATTTTTCCAATATTTTTCCATTTTGCGCACACATTNCTTTTTTTTCTCCTTATTAATTAAAAATTCAAGCGAAAAAATTTCGCTTACAATGCACGATAAAGCTTTTGTCTGATACTAAATTCTCCATATGTGCATACATTAATTTAATTTTTCCAATATTTTTCCATTTTGCGCACACATTAAGTATGTATGTATGTATGTATTTTTAACCCTCTAAATTGGCCACAGCAACGACGCCGCACAACATGCCACAATGTGTGTATATATGTATATGCATGTATATGCATGTATTTACATATATTTGTATGTACTTAAGATATTTATANGTATTTTTAACCCTCTAAATTGGCCACAGCAACGACGCCGCACAACATGCCACAATGTGTGTATATATGTATATGCATGTATTTACATATATTTGTATGTACTTAAGATATTTATAACCCACTTAAGTTTGAATACACCTCGTCATCGTATTAGTTTTTTTTTTTCTGGTGTGTGTGTGTTTTTATGCATTTTTGTTGTGCTGCTTCCTTTCAAAGTCTTTCACCTGGAAAATAATTCATAGCTCTTTAGCTACATACTTAATTCTTTGCCCTGCTGGTTTTCGTAATACCCAAAACGCACACAAATACTACACACTTAGTTTATTTTCCACCAAAAAATAATAATTTTGTCGGTATTTGCTGCGTTTGTTTCTTCACTCGCCTTTTTTTCTTCTAAATTTTTAAATGATTATTTTTCACTATTTATTTGTGTTGTGTTTGTGCATATGTATGTATGTACATATGTATATGGTGTACTGTTGTTGCCGCTACTGACGCGCTTGTTTGTGCTTTTCTTCTGTACTTAATAATCAGCTCACGTTTATATTGTTACTGTAACCTTTTTTAGACTTTTATTTTAGGCTTATAAATAATTATATTTTTGTTTTCTTTACATTTTATTTATTTTTTATTCAATTCCAATCAGCTGTCTTTTGTGTGCCTCCAACGAGAAAACGTTGGCTAAATGTCTGCTCAGATGGTTTTTGGAGTGAGCGCTTTCTCATACACTATGCTCTCTCTCACTCCATCGCTCACACATTTTTCTTTTGAGCCACAGCATTTGCGATGTGTTTTTCGTTGCCAGCATTTTATGTTCGCCCCACCAACAATTTTTAACTACACCTTTCTTTGCGTGCTATTCGTAGTTTTTTTTTTTTTTACTTGAATGCACAAACATTCAAGACACTTAACTTTTTATTCACTTTGCTGGCCTTTCATTATACGTTTTAATGCTCACATTGCTGCTTCATTTAGTCGTACAAAATTTGCCGGTTTTATGCTGGTCTACTCGTCGCCAGGTATTCNGACTTTTTCTTCAACTATCTGTCTATTTATTCACTTTGCTGGCCTCTCATTATACGTTTTAATGCTCACATTGCTGCTTCATTTACTCGTACAAAATTTGCCGGTTTTATGCTGGTCTACTCGTCGCCAGGTATTCGTTGACTTCCCAATTTGATTGCTCTAAACGAGTTACCATGAAGTTACCATTTTATTTTAGGGTTTTCATTTGTCATGTTCTTTTATTTGCACAGTTGAACAATTACCATTTTTTTAAGTTGAGGCAGTTTTTTTTTATTTGTGCGTGTAATTGATTCTACCTTCTGCCTAATGTTTTCCTCTTCCACCTTCTTTATAACACTTTTTTTAGGTGTGTATTTAAATTTTGCTCGCTTCAAAACCTGTTTTGTGCCACTTTTCTTTCTATTTCTAGCCAGTTGACTTTTTGTTTTTGTTTTTTTATTCTATTACCAGTTGATTTTGGTGTGATTTTCTTCCCGCACTACTTTTCTACCGAAACCATCAACTTTGAAACTTATCCATTATTGTCATAATATGACAAACCATTGACTATAAATAAATTTACATACATATAAAAACGCCCCCATAGAAAATGGCTTAGGTAGAATTCAAACGCCTATTTTACAGAAACTAAACGCAGAAACATTTTTCTGTCTTAAATTGTTTCCAGATGTTGACCACTTTTGAGTACAGACTTGGGTAGGGCCTTTTATAATAAAAAGAAAATCCAATTTCTTTTGACTTTTATTATTATTTTGAGCAAGAAACATCGATATTATTTGGAGCAGAAAGAAACCGATAATTTGTACTTGTTATTTTTTTATGTATTCAATAAAAGTAAAGTTTAAAATAAACTTTTTGACCTGCATGTTTCCGAAAAGTTCGGAAAAATCTCGTAAACTTAGAAAAAGTAAAAAACGAAAAATCACTGAAATATATTAAAAAAGTCCCAGAAAGTCCCGAAAAGTAAAACACAAATAGTCCAGAATGAGTCCTGAAAAATAGAGCACGAAAAATTCGTAAAAATACTTAGGAAAAGTAGAACACGAAAAATCCCATAGCCAATATTGGCTATTTAAATATGAGCTATGCAACCCTGTGTTTCTGCAAACAACCAAGATTGATGATAGATTGTTTTATCAATTTTGCCAAACAATCAGCTGCTCGCCACAAAATGTAAACAAACAAACAAATGCAAAAACAACTTCAAGGAACAAGCAACAGTGTTGCCACTTGTTTGGTATATTTAAATAAAGTTAATATGAAGCCCAACGAAAGCTAAATGGCATTTAAATAACAATCCTAAATTAAACTGAACTGCCGTTTAAATATTCATGTAAAATTGAAAAAAAATTCGTTTGAAGGGCAGATAAATTTTAAACACAACTTCAGAAAACGGAATTAAGAATCCGGTAAATTGCTAATTTATGTTGAACTGCCTCGAAATAATCTTGAACAGTTAAAATAAAGGCCGAAAAAATCATGAAGCATTATGTTTTATTACCAGTGCTTAAAAAGTAATCGGTATTTCTTATTCATAATAATAAGAGTCATCAGAAAATAATAAACAATATCTTCGAAAAAAGGTTTATACATGATTTTAAAATCGTCAATTTAAATTGTTTTTACAGCAGATGTTTGATTGAACATCTAATGGGTTACTTAAGTAAAAAAAAAAAAATCGTATTAAACTTTTTTAAGTAGTTTGCGAATTTTACATACTCGTAGTATACATTTTGCTTTCTTTTTACGATGCGCTCGAATCTATTTCCCACTTCCAAATTTAACACAAAAGCAATGCTATTTTTTTAAATTTCACACGCATGCTGCCATATTTGTGATTTAAACATAAAATACTTTCATTTTTTTATAGTGGCCATAAAATTCCGCATACAGCATTATTCGCCTTAATTGGCAACTCGCAGCCGGCTGAAACTATATTTATTTTTCCTTAAACGGCAACAATTAATGCAATGCGTTCGCTTCAATTAATACACACACACACAAAAAATATCGTACATAAAACCAGAATGTTTGGCATCGTAAACTCGTTCCAAACACTGTTCCATTTATTTCCGTGGGGTCAGCGTGTTGTGCATTAAATTTACATACGATTGCCTTAGTTAGTTAGTTACTCAGCTCTGCAATTCTCCAACTCGCTCGTTGCTACACATTCATTCAATTGTAAAAATAACTTTTTTTTGTGTGAAATTAGCTTAAAATAAAATGTAACGGTAAGAGGCATAAATAACGCTCGTAAATCTATAAATGTGGTTTTCGCAGAGTGCTTTTTTGTTTTTTGGTCATAATATTAGACAAAACTCTAATTGCCTAGTGTCGCTGCTCGTTGGTTGCTCGCTTCTCGCTTTCTTTCCTAGCGCAAAGTTTTCATTGTAAATTAAAATTACTTTTTCCATTTATTCATATTAATGCTTTTTTTGTATAAGTTTTTTTTTCTCGTCCACTTGCTCTACTCTCGGCCTCATAATTTCGGTTCGTACCGGTGTAAATTTAATAATTAGTGCTTTCGTGGTACTGCATTTATTAGTGCTGGTGACTTCACAGTGGTTTGTTATCAATTCTCTTGCTCACCGGAAAATGATAATTGTACAAGCGGCGCGTGGATTTGAAATAAAGACAGAAAGAAAGAAACGATTAATGAACGGAAATAAAAATGCGCGTAGAGCTAGTAGCTAATAGTTTTAGTAGTTTTGCATATACATACATATCTTAATAAATGAAGAGAAAAAAGTATATCATGGAAGTAAAAAAATAATAAAAATTTAAGTAAAAAGTGGATCGCGTTTACTAAGAGCCTCTAAAATTTTGCAAGTAAAATTTCCCATGAGATTCAAATGTATGTATCAACAAGCAGGAAAACCCTTAAGAGATTAATAAATCATAAAAATGCGTTTGTGGCAGTTGGCGAGATTTTTTTGTTCATTCCATAAAAATATATTTTTAGCCTTACGAAAGATTGAAGACGGGCAAATCTTAGAAGCNCAGCGCAAAGTTTTCATTGTAAATTAAAATTACTTTTTCCATTTATTCATATTAATGCTTTTTTTGTATAAGTTTTTTTTTTCTCGTCCACTTGCTCTACTCTCGGCCTCATAATTTCGGTTCGTACCGGTGTAAATTTAATAATTAGTGCTTTCGTGGTACTGCATTTATTAGTGCTGGTGACTTCACAGTGGTTTGTTATCAATTCTCTTGCTCACCGGAAAATGATAATTGTACAAGCGGCGCGTGGATTTGAAATAAAGACAGAAAGAAAGAAACGATTAATGAACGGAAATAAAAATGCGCGTAGAGTTAGTAGCTAATAGTTTTAGTAGTTTTGTATATACATACATATCTTAATAAATGAAGAGAAAAAAGTATATCATGGAAGTAAAAAAAAAAATAAAAATTTAAGTAAAAAGTGGATCGCGTTTACTAAGAGCCTCTAAAATTTTGCAAGCAAAATTTCCCATGAGATTCAAATGTATGTATCAACAAGCAGGAAAACCCTTAAGAGATTAATAAATCATAAAAATGCGTTTGTGGCAGTTGGCGAGATTTTTTTGTTCATTCCATAAAAATATATTTTTAGCCTTACGAAAGATTGAAGACGGGCAAATCTTAGAAGCTTGACAAAAAGTTGTTGGACGTATTGGTTTCAAACGAATAGNCTCTAAAATTTTGCAAGCAAAATTTCCCATGAGATTCAAATGTATGTATCAACAAGCAGGAAAACCCTTAAGAGATTAATAAATCATAAAAATGCGTTTGTGGCAGTTGGCGAGATTTTTTTGTTCATTCCATAAAAATATATTTTTAGCCTTACGAAAGATTGAAGACGGGCAAATCTTAGAAGCTTGACAAAAAGTTGTTGGACGTATTGGTTTCAAACGAATAGGAAAAAATCTAAGAGATATAAATAATCAAAATAAAAAGGAAAGTAAAAACAAATAAAAAAATAAAAATAAAATAAAAAGATGAAAAATAAAGTAAGGAACGTAGAAATTAATACAAAATTAAAAATGCACGAGATTTAGATAATAAAATGTAATAATTATAGTGAAGCTAAATTAAAAATAAAATAAACATTAAATAACCACAATTACAAAAAAATATACATCAAATCTTCGTATGTATATACAATAAATATTTAAAAATATAATATATTCATACAAAAATTAAAAATTAGGTTTATAAAGAAATAATATAAAAAACAATAAATAATTAAAATAAAATAACCTTCTCCTTTTTTTGAAGTCGATTAAAAATATAACATAAAATAAAACACAACACAACAAAGCGTGGCCAAAAAATAAACAATGAAATAAAATTAAAAAAAGAAACAATTAAAAAAAATATAAAATTTAATAAAGCATTATGAATTTAGTTAAAAAAAAATAAGGATTCTATGAAAAAATTAAGCGTCTAGTTAAATAATACAACTCAAAAATTAAAAATGTATGTCCAAAAATGAAATAAATGAAAATTAAACGATAAATAGAAAATTAAAAAAACGAAATTAAAAAAAGAAAAAATTAAGTGAAAGACATAAAAAAATTTNTAAATAATATAAAAAACAATAAATAATTAAAATAAAACACAACACAACAAAGCGTGGCAAAAAAATAAACAATGAAATAAAATTAAAAAAAGAAACAATTAAAAAAATATAAAATTTAATAAAGCATTAAGAATTTAGTTAAAAAAATAAGGATTCTATGAAAAAATTAAGCGTCTAGTTAAATAATACAACTAAAAGATTAAAAATGTATGTCCAAAAATGAAATAAATGAGAAATTAAACGATAAATAGAAAATTAAGAAAACGAAATTAAAAAAAGAAAAAATTAAGTGAAAGACATAAAAAAATTTGGCCAATTGTGACATCAAAACTTATAAAAAATCTTTAATTAATTTAAATATGAAGAATTTAGCTAAAAAATAAGGCATTCAATTTAAAAAAAAAGTTAAGAATCTAGTTAAAAAATAGAGAATATAAATAAAAGATNTAATTTAAAAAAAAGTTAAGAATCTAGTTAAAAAATAGAGAATATAAATAAAAGATGGGAAATACTTTTAAATAAATCTTAAAAACGTTCGCTGATGCGTAGTTTGAATTACTGGTGAAAACTACGAAATCAAGCTGTAGTTATTTTTATTAGTGTTTCAAATAAAAAAAAACTTAAATTAAACAAAAGTTACAGACACGGGGAGAGATTAAATATTTTGTGCAGCAAATCGAAATTTCAGTATTCTGTAATCAACTGCTTTTGGAAAAGTTTTTATTTACTNAATATATTGTGCAGCAAATCTAAATTTCAGTATTCTGTAATCAACTGCTTTTGGAAAAGTTTTTATTTACTATCGTTTTTATTTGCATCGATTACCATTGCAGGATTAAAAACTAAGGACGCGGTTTTTGTGGAAAAGCGTTGGATTCAGTTGAGTACGTACATTTAAATAAGATAAACGCATTTCTTAGTTGTAAGACATATTCTTTTATTATAAATTTTATTTAATTAACAAAAACTTAATTTCTGTTATGAAGGACGTGAAAAATAATTAACGGTAGAATGTTAGGCGTTATCGGCGTTACTAAATATAAATCCTTGAATGAAACCCATTCAAGAGAGATGATTTCCAAAACGAACTGATCTTTAGGGCTTTACGGTGAAATCCTGGTTATTTTTTTAGTCCTAAAATAACACAAAGAGGTAGTTTTATATAATTTTAAGTAATTCAAATTAACTCCATCATTTGATGGAGCACGAATATGTTTAAGTGGGCGGTATATTTTTAGTTAAAATTATATAAGGCAGTTGAGAATTGCAGACGAACGAAATATTAGCACAACTTTGTTTGCAAAATTAAACTAGGAATTTTCTCTAATTTGGTCCTTCTGTAGCGACTTTTTTAAATTCCATCTCCCCTTGAGATTTAAAAGGAAATCAAGGCGAAGTTTCCAGGCTTACCAGACCAACACAAACAACTGTATGTAATACATATAGCCCATGTTTAACTACGTTGATAAGCGCTAAATACATATTTGTTTGATGTTTGCAGTAGTTTTACTAAAAAACACTTGTCACCGTAAAGTCAAAAATTTAATGCTTGCACTAATCCAAAAAAAAATACATTCGGTTACATAACGACGAAACATACATATGCGTGTTGGTTGTTTGTATATATATGCAAGCGTGTTAGTACTTGAAGAAGTATGTAATTGATTGCTTATCGCGTTATTTTCTGATATTTTTATTTTTAAGTGTGTACAAGGTCAGCTTAAGTCAAGTGGTTTGTCGATACGCTCGTTAGTGTAGCTGCCTATTTATACTTGCTTATCTCAAATGCCGGTTCTATTATTTTTTTTTTCTCCGATACTTAATCTTTTTATTGATTGAGTGATTTTTAGCGTTCTTTNTCTAAGTCAAGTGGTTTGTCGATACGCTCGTTAGTGTAGCTGCCTATTTATACTTGCTTATCTCAAATGCCGGTTCTCCGATACTTAATCTTTTTATTGATTGAGTGATTTTTAGCGTTCTTTGGTGTACACTTGATAATTTTGATAATTTGAAATAATTTCTCTCAGCGTAATACTAAATCGAGTACTAAATTATCTGCGTCTGCGTTACAACAACCATAAAATTACTTTAAGAGCGCATCAATTGAATCTTGGAAAAATTAAAATATGCGCACTGCAATACATATTCTACATAATTTTCCATTTCCCTTACTAATTTCATAAAATTTTGCTACAGCATTAGATCTTCACATTTGCCGCGCTGTTTGTTGTACTTCCTTACAATTGTCGTTGCACTTCAATTTCCTGCCACCCATTTTCTGTGTGCCAATTCCAAATGCAATGCGGCAATTTTATTGCATTGAAACGCCAACTTGAATGCAATGCGTATGAGCAGCCGAGGGCTCTGCGGTGGCAACAGAGTGCGGGCGACGACTAAATTAAATCAAATAAAAGTTTTTAGAAATTAAAAGAAAATGCGGGGGAAAATCAATTGAAGAACAGAACTATCAACAAGACAAGATATCGACTAACATTTCCGCAAGCACGTATGAGAGAAGGTGTATTTGTTTGTTTTGTACTTGGATATACAAATGTATGTATGTGGATTTGCAACAAAAAACGTCAACTAGAGTTGAAACCCTGCAGGGAAAATCTGAGATAATGAAATGTTTTTTCTTTTAGAGGTACGGAATTGTTTTAGGCAAAGAACATAGTGACGCGACAAAGAGAGCGACAAGAAATTTTCGGATAATAGCGAAGAAAGAGACAAGAAACGTCAAAACATAGTGAAGCAACAGTCAGCTCAGAAAGCAACGAAAACAAGTTTTTTTGTTTTCGTCGCTATGCTCTTTATCGCTTTTCGTTTCAAGCTCGGAACACTTTGACGACTGCAACTTCACGACGTAACGACAGCGACATCATTTTGTCCACAAATGTCGCCTTGAAGCCAGCTTCTTAAACATTTTGAAGACCTCAGCGACATAGCAAACAGCTGATTTTAAAGTTTGATATTTTGGTATATTTATTTCACAAATTGTGTATTTTTATTTAAGTAAATAAGAAAAACATGAACAATCAAGAATATGTGATTAATTTTGCGACAATTTATTTTTGCAGCACTACATCTACTCATTGTCGCCGGCAAAATTAGAAATAGATTTAATTTGGCGACGTCGACAATTGCAGTCCTGCAGCCAAGATGTCGTGCTGTCGTCAAAATAATTGTGTCCGTAAGAACGTGTGTATTTAAAATTTGACAGATGCTGCTTGTCGCTTGCTGTCGTCAAAGTGTTCCGAGCTTCAGTGTGTGCTGCCATATTGAAAAATAAAGGATTGTTTTTGTCGCTATTATCCGAAAATGTCTTGTCGCTCTCTTTGTCGCGTCACTATGTTCTTTGCCTTAGTGAACAATCTTTTGTATCCCTGTTGATACTTTAAAATGAACAAGCGTTTGACTAGTACTTAAGCCAGCAACATCGTGGAACATCTGCCAATTGGAATTACTAGTTTGTTGCCAGGCCTATAAATACCGCTACGTGCTTCATCCTTGAACCGTCTAAGTGCCAATGTACCTGGGATCATGGGAATCCAGTCTGTCCAGTCAGATATTTTTGCTCGCAACACAATCGATATTAATATCGATATCTTTATTGCTCTCGATATGTATACCGATAAAGTTATCGATAACTTCACAAAATCCATACTTCAATGGTAAAATAATCAACATTAGCTATTACGGCAAAAGCAACGCTAACATAAAAGAGTATGTATAACATCGATAATATATCGATAATTATTGATATGTTTGTGATAACACCAGTCCAATATTGTAAAGTACAACTAAAAATTAAAAGATACGNGTTTTTTTGTTTTCGTCGCTATGCTCTTTATCGCTTTTCGTTTCAAGCTCGGAACACTTTGACGACTGCAACTTCACGACGTAACGACAGNAGGAATCCAGTCTGTCCAGTCAGATATTTTTGCTCGCAACACAATCGATATTAATATCCATATCTTTATTGCTCTCGATATGTGTATCGATGGGTACATTCTTTTCATATGTATGTGAAAAATGTATCGACAATATGTAACATATAATAATATATCGATAACTATACCGATAAAGTTATCGATAACTTCACAAAATCCATACTTCAATGGTAAAATAATCAACATTAGCTATTGCGGCAAAAGCAACGCTAACATAAAAGAGTATGTATAACATCGATAATATATCGATAATTATTGATATGTTTGTGATAACACCAGTCCAATATTGTAAAGTACAACTAAAAATTAAAAGATACGCATTTTCGAATGACGGAAAAATTTTCCTACAGGGACTGTATGAANTGTGCTGCCATATTGAAAAATAAAGGATTGTTTTTGTCGCTATTATCCGAAAATGTCTTGTCGCTCTCTTTGTCGCGTCACTATGTTCTTTGCCTTAGTGAACAATCTTTTGTATCCCTGTTGATACTTTAAAATGAACAAGCGTTTGACTAGTACTTAAGCCAGCAACATCGTGGAACATCTGCCAATTGGAATTACTAGTTTGTTGCCAGGCCTATAAATACCGCTACGTGCTTCATCCTTGAACCGTCTAAGTGCCAATGTACCTGGGATCATAGGAATCCAGTCTGTCCAGTCAGATATTTTTGCTCGCAACACAATCGATATTAATATCGATATCTTTATTGCTCTCGATATGTATACCGATAAAGTTATCGATAACTTCACAAAATCCATACTTCAATGGTAAAATAATCAACATTAGCTATTACGGCAAAAGCAACGCTAACATAAAAGAGTATGTATAACATCGATAATATATCGATAATTATTGATATGTTTGTGATAACACCAGTCCAATATTGTAAAGTACAACTAAAAATTAAAAGATACGCATTTTCGAATGACGGAAAAATTTTCCTACAGGGACTGTATGAAACGTAAGACGAAAAAAACATAAGACACCGAACAACAACACTTACAGTGGCGTCAGTCGTGAATTGAGGCGCGGCAAAAAAGCAAAATAAAAAAACGAGAAAAAATACAAAAAAAAAAAANTTCACTGTGTGCTGCCATATTGAAAAATAAAGGAATTTTTTTGTCGCTATTATCCGAAAATGTCTTGTCGCTCTCTTTGTCGCGTCACTATGTTCTTTGCCTTAGTGAACAATCTTTTGTATCCCTGTTGATACTTTAAAATGAACAAGCGTTTGACTAGTACTTAAGCCAGCAACATCGTGGAACATCTGCCAATTGGAATTACTAGTTTGTTGCCAGGCCTATAAATACCGCTACGTGCTTCATCCTTGAACCGTCTAAGTGCCAATGTACCTGGGATCATGGGAATCCAGTCTGTCCAGTCAGATATTTTTGCTCGCAACACAATCGATATTAATATCGATATCTTTATTGCTCTCGATATGTATACCGATAAAGTTATCGATAACTTCACAAAATCCATACTTCAATGGTAAAATAATCAACATTAGCTATTACGGCAAAAGCAACGCTAACATAAAAGAGTATGTATAACATCGATAATATATCGATAATTATTGATATGTTTGTGATAACACCAGTCCAATATTGTAAAGTACAACTAAAAATTAAAAGATACGCATTTTCGAATGACGGAAAAATTTTCCTACAGGGACTGTATGAAACGTAAGACGAAAAAAACATAAGACACCGAACAACAACACTTACAGTGGCGTCAGTCGTGAATTGAGGCGCGGCAAAAAAGCAAAATAAAAAAACGAGAAAAAATACAAAAAAAAAAAAAATGCCGCTGATAAGCGTCGGCAACAACTACAACTAAAACCCACAGCGATCCAAGTCTGATATGATAGCGAATGTGTGTGTGTGTGTGTACAAATGTATGCAGCGAATGAGTGACTCGTACAGGGTGACTT